TATCTGATGATGTAGTGGAGATACAATGCTAATATTAGAAAATGGGTCCTATGAGAAGGTAAATTCAGTAAGGGAACTCTGTTACACCTCTCATGTTAGTGAGAAGAGAAGGTCACACGTCTATGTACCTTGTGGACATAACCAAAAGCAACCCCTGGAACATCTTCCTCGTCTTGTCTTTTCCCACACCTAAAGCAAAGTCCACCAAAATATCCAGGATGTGGAGGACATATCTTGATTTGAGCATCTTCAGATGAACCTGCCACAACATATATCCAATAATTCACATATCTGCCACACTTGTGAATGTCAATGATTCAATTTATGATCTATTGAGCTGAAGCAAAGAAAACTTCGAAAAGACTGCTTTTAAACATACTGCACTCCTAAGCAACTGGATAAATTGAAAGTGGGTCAACATACATGACATAGATAATTATTTGTGTTTCATACATATCATAGATATGAACATACATCTACGAATAAGGATAGCCAGATTCCGCTATTAACCTGAATGGCAATGTGCATCTTTTATGATCCAAATGAAGGAAATAACTTGAGTCTTCAGAACTATCAAAAACTAGTGCACAACAATGTCCCCTTAGCTGCTAAATTACTTTGCAGAACCTTGAGCTGCTAATGGTTAATGCATTGAAAAATGAGACTAACAAGCATACCAATGGAATCTTCGTCAGGCCTTATTGCCGTTTCTCGATCTTGGTATTGCACCTTCACTTTACGCCTTTTGGCACTGCATTTTTCATGGGGTCAGCAGTCAGATACTTCAGATCTGTAGTACAGAATCTACAAACAAATCGTGATCTTTCTCAACACAGCATTATCTGATATTCTTCCCTCATGTTCCCTCTTTTAACCAAGTAGTATTACGATGCTTCATCAACAACTACACTCTCTCACTGCCCCAAAAAAGTCACTGCATCTAAACTATTTCATGCAGTGGTTTCACGAAGGGATGATTTTTTTTATATTGCCAGTTATCTCCATATTGCTGTGCCTGGTCGATGATGTAACTATTCTGCTGTGAATCGATGATGTAACACATTCTGGATGGATATAGAAGAGAACAGCAAATGATGGCGACTAAACCAACCTTGCTTCCGCACCCCAACATGCAAATGGAGTGCCTGTGACTGATCGGTCAATCCTAAGCTTCAGCAATTCAGCAGCTTATATAAGCCACGAAACATTCTAACATGGCTTGTCCTAGCTTAAGCTTAACGTGAGAATGAAGCTAGGCTTAACAGCTTATAAGACTATAAAAACAAATTGGCATACCACAGTAGAATAGGGTAACTTCCCATTTTCCATGTGAACTGTAAGGCACAGAGTAATCTAACTGAATCTGTTAAAAAAGTCGGAGGTTACCAGATCTCTGAGACTACCATCGATCCGACAGAGCGGAACGACCAGAAAAAGAAGTGGAGTTAGAAAGCCGTATGATAGGTGGTAACTATAATGATCAAATTCACATTCTCAAATAAGCGGAATACTTTTAAACATAATCAAGTGAAGCACTCACTGCTAACTTGCTAAGTAAACAAACGGTTTTAACACCAACAAACCCTAGATAAGAAAAATCTCCTGTCCCGTCAAATGTTGCACGCACATACAGGAATCCACCTGTCACTACATTGCAAGCAAAACAGAAACCTCACCCCCCAAGCATCTATCTCACCGAATCTACCGCGCCACTCGGATAAAACAGGACCAAACCTGCTAATGACTACACTGAAGCTGCACATTCAACACTAGAACCGTGGAATACATGCTTCTGACCGCACAGCCAAAGCAACTAAGCCCAACAATCATATTCGCGATGGGGATTACAAATCACTTGCCTGCTCTGCTCCACGGTTTCTACATCGGCCACCACGTCTTCGTCGTCATCCTCTTCGTCGTCGCTGCTTGTGGGTGATGTGGAGGGGTCGCCCACAGAGGCGGAGTCGACGGCAGAGGCGAGATCCAGCTCCGCGTCTAGGAGCGCAGCGAAATCGTCGCTGCCGCTCGACGACGACGGGGACGGCGACGGCGATTCGGCTGCTAGACTCATAGATGACGACGCCGAAACGGCAGCGAACAACTCACGGATGGACCGATCGGCAGCGGAAACACGCCTAGTGCGAGCTAGGGTTCTGGATGAGGTCGGGGCAGCAGGACGGAGACGGCGGCGGTGGGAAAGGATGGCGGCAGCGACCCCAGCGATGGCAGGGAAGGAACGGGAGAAGGTGGGGAGAAAGGAGATGAGACGGCAATGGTAACAACGCAGGCTGGGGAGGGAGGGGGGGCGGCGGGGAGAAGCGGGGCGGCGGCGCGTGACCGAGGCGACGGCAGCGTTGTGACACCGGGTGTGGTTAATGTGTCCATAACACACACCCACACACACATTTGTCTATTTTTCAAAAACTGTCTATTTTCCATTTCAAATTTGTTTCTCTAGTTTCTTGAAACTATTTTTCATAAATACAAATTGTCTTCCAACCCAGTCAACAATGCTTAAGGTAGTCAACAAAAATCCAACTCAGTCAACAACTCAATTCAGTCAATGAACGTTCATTCAAAATGTCATTGTCAACAAGTCAACGGAGAAGGAAAAAATGACCTAAATCAACATAGAAGACAAGAAGCAAATAAACCCAAGTTTAGAAGAGGTCCAATTAGCCAAAAACTCATTCATGGATTGATGAAAATGAGTGTGGACGTCTGGCATTTGGCCGGTCTCTATGAACTCGTTGACCTGACTTTATCATCATATCCCTCTTACTTACCATCAATATGTGTAGCTTTGATCATTTGTCAAAGCATACTCTCCTACTATAAGGACCCAGGAGCATGTCACATATTGAGGGCCAGTTTGGATGTGTCCACGCTGCTAGACGTCTGGCTTAGACCTCTTCTGAAAACTGTCTCACACTTGTTTGGATGGAGTCCTGAAAGTTTTAGACATGTCCTGGCCTGGATCGCTCAGGCGTGAAAATTAGCCTGCCAGGCGTCCCCCGTTCGGTCGCCTGAACCGCGGGCAACAACAACCTGGCACTAATCCTTCTACTTATACGTGGTTGTGGGATGGTCTGCAGCATCGTGTTTTTAGTCCTTATAAATAACCCGTCAGGCCAGGCATAATCCAAACAAGTCCCTCTCCAGGCTGCCTCATCAGTCTAAAAAAAATCTTAAAATCCCACGCACATACTAGGCAGTACTTTCGTCCAGGCATGTGACCCAGGGCAGCGTCTAAACTAGCTCTCACACACTCTTGAATGTCCAACAACTCCTAATGAGAGCCTAGAGAGTTCTCGAATCAAGACAAATGAATCTAATATGGCTGGGACTGACATCGAGGGAGAGGAATCTGGGAAGGATGGCAAGTTAGTCGTGAACGACTCGGGACTGCGACCCCCCCCCCCCCCACACACACACACACAGAGAC